CAGGAAAAAGAGGCGTCGTTTGCAATACGCTGTAACCTGGTGGAGATGTATGTTGTATTGTCCGCTGCGCGCCTGCGGGCAATGACTGTGTCGATTGTTTGTCGAAACATCGGCGTTCTCGTTCGGCCGCGTATTGGTGGCTTGCGAGTTTGACAACCTTGTCTCCGAGCGGATCGGACGAAAAACACTTTTCCCCGAAAATTTACCGAGCAATCAGCAGAATAAATGAAAGGGGAAATGTCAGCTGTCAAGAGCGCCCATGCAAAACAGAATGCGTTTTTGTTTTCATTTGTTTTGTTTCCGCACTGCAGGAATAAAAATAGCAACATGTTGACACTTGACTAGGTGGGACAGCACTGCAAGCCGTATACTAAAATGGGCAGTGAAGGATGTGGGAGTTCTTTTGTTTTTTTTAACTTTCATCATCTCTTCTTTTTATAGATATTTCGCCGTAGCAGAGGAAAATTGTGTACTTTTAAATGAATACCACGGCCCTTTACTTTAATAATTAATTTAACCTGGTCAAGTTAGAGCTATATAGTTTAATCTGTAATAGTAGCGAGCACACACTACACAGAACGACAGAGAACAACCGCTCGACTTGCCCCACCGCGGTGGTCTAGTGGCTAAGGTACTCGACTGCTAAACCGCAGGTCGTGAAATCGAAACCCGGCTGCAGCGGCTGCATTTGTGATGGAGGCGGAAATGTGGGCACGCGTGTGCTCAGATTTGGGTGCACGTTAAAGAACCCTAGGTGGTCGAAATTTCCGGAGCCCTCCACTATAGTGGCGTCTCTCATAATCATATTGTGGTTTTGGGACGTCAGACCCCACAAATCAATCATCAACCACTCGACTTGAACACAGTTGAGGTTTAGCAGTCGACTTGCGTCGTTCTGTGTGCTGTGGAGTGCATAGGCTATTATTGAGGGTTCCGATGCATACAAACCTAAGCAGGCAGTTCGCGAGAAACGAGTGGATTGCGAACAGACACGCAGAATGCATTTAATTCCAACTCTACCTTAAATATTCGGCCAAATATATATGCTCGCACAATCACGCGATATAAGACTGCAAATGCGCGTACAGATTCGGAAAGAAAACAACGATAAAACAGGGAAACAGACGAAATAGCTTCAAAGTAAGCCGATTCGAACGAGTCACAGCAAGAGAGGGAATGCGTCGCGCGGGAAAGCACCGCACATATACGACACTCGTAGGAAGGAACGGTTAAAGAAGCGAAATCAGGTGAGCTAATGCCCGAGTCGAGCGGCTTCCTGGTACGAGCAGTCTTTTGTTTCGCGCACACCTCCAACTTTCGCTTCACGGTCAACGCGAGGACACCTTGCTTCATCTTTCGGCTCTTTATTTTGTTTACTTCTTCCAGTGTACAGCACGCCCGTTCGAGATTCTATTTTCACCACGAACACTTCGTCAGCGAGAAACGCGAACACACGGACCGTCGAAGGAGAAGGTGGGTACCCTCGCATAGACATGCAAATGGCGCCGTGATTTGTGTGCCCCGGGACAGCGTACGTGTTCGCGCAGTGCGGGCGTCTTAAATGAGCGACGAAAAGCCAACCGGCGTGGCAGCCACGCTGTTTGTCAAAAGGAAGAATGAGAGAGAAAGGGTAACACGTGCCCACACAGAGAAACTACAATAAATGACACTGCGAGACGGAGAACGGCAAACGAAACGTTTGGCGGACCTCGAGAGAAACCTGTTGTGTTTGCCAGATTGGATCCTCAGTTAAGATATACCACGATGCCGCCCGCGCTCTCGTGGAAAAAGCCCAGACGTTGAGACCTTGCCTATTTTTCCTCCTCATTCTTAAATCTTCTGACCGCGCCCTCGGGTGTTCTTTTTTTATATAGGTGTAAAAGCTACCGTGATTCGGAGATCTATCAGAAAGGCCGTGATCCGGAAAGCTTGTGGCAGCCTAAGGTTGCCTGGCGAACAAGTATATATAACGCCGCTGTAATGCAGTACTTGTCAGGTCGGCCAATCGTTCGATTATTATTCGACGATTGCTGCGGTGTGGTCGCTTTAGTTTGAGATGTTGAGATATCAGCATGCATATATCTTTCGTTACGTCATATAATTAATCACGCTTGTCTTCAGTGTGTGTTTCCAAATAAGAAAGTTTTATAGCTCTATTGCAGCGCCAATAAATAAAGCGAACTTTCCATACCCTAATCGTAAACAAAATTAAGTTAAAATTTAAGTTCCAAAGGCGAATGATACATTAAAGAATGCGGGTCTGCACGGAAGCTGACAAGATAGCGTAAAGGCTGGAGTCAAGAGCCTAATAAAATACGCAAATATAACATTTATTAGCAGCTGTACAGCTTTTTGTATTTATGTATAAAAAGTATGTGCAAGTAGGCTTTGTTATAGCCGGCCATCTCAAATTCATGATGGTATATACATGATGAACATACAAGATAAAAAAATTAGGAATAAAAAGAAGAACAAAATAATCAGAAGCACTATATGTATAATGACACCAAGAAAACTAGAGCGCGAACATTGATTGTACAGTTTTGTGTACTGTGTTAGCTGTGACACACATGCGACGAACGTAAGGTCCTCCAAAGGTCACAGGTTCGCCCGCTTTATTATCTTCACATTTACGTCACAATTAATAAAGTACACTTAAAACTGCACAATTAGCGTTCGCTGTGCATTCCATGATTTCTTCTGCGGACTTTATTACGGTTGCGTCAAACAATGAAATGAACTGCGAAGAAGTTCAAAAGACGTTTGTAAACAGCAGCATCTCAGCACGGTTTACTTCTCGGCGTTTATCTTCAAGGACGTTCTTGTCACTAGTACAACATGGTATTAAATGCGAAACATTTCTTAGCAAACTTCGGTGACATTGAGCGTATCTGTTTACCTATCTATCTATCTATCTCTCTATCTAGCCGCCTACGACATTTAGCTCTCCTGGCCGTTTCAACAACGGTATCGACACCATCCAAAATTGGTATGGCATAACATGAATGTATGAGAAGCATAAGTGATTAGTAATAACATGAAAATCATCACATGTACGTCATGATTTACACTTCACGGCCTTGCTGCTCTTGCTGCGATTTCGTTCACATAACATATTGCAAAACTCGAATCGTATGACATCACTGCGTGGCGAACATAAGTGAAAGAGCCTAACGCGCAAACATGATATTTATGACATTCGTGTCATGTAAGGCATGACTACATGCTACGCTCTTAGCGTGCTCGCGGCCGTTTTGCTAGTTTCACGTATACCAAATTTTGTATCATGACACTTGAATAAATGATGAAGGCATATGCCACGTAAAAACATGATAATAATGACATGAAAGTAAAGTACAGATTATTTTACATCCGCCTCGTAACGTTGTGCTGATTTGAAAGTGACATATCAACCTTTCTCATTCGTGCTACGCATATCACCGATTCCCACTGTACGTGGGACCTGCCAACTTTTTTTTTTATTCCCGATGTTGCTATTTTTTTTTTTGTCGGAACTACCGCAGCTTTGGCGCTGATATTGCGCAGGTATCGGTCGCTGCTCAGCATGGCCCATCGGCACAAACAAGATAGTAAAGCCAACGCAGCGCACTCGATCACACCGGTAGAAAGGCACAGCCGGGCGATAGTATATCTACACGAAAAAAAAAAAAAAACGCTTTGAGCAACAAGTCCGGGCGTTTGTCGGGAAAAGAGTTGTACCCACGTGAACCGGTTACTCGAAGAGAATAGAGCGATTTTCACGAGGGCCCGATCTGCCGCTAGGGATTACAGTGATCGAGCAGCGTGGAAGAGCAATGCAAACGTTCAAGCCTGTTAAGTGTAAGCGCAATCTCGTGGCCTGAGACACACTTACCTGTTAAGTTTATCCTGTGTATGCGTGTCAGGGCACAAAAGTGTAGTATAGTCGAGAGTTCGACGGAATGCCGTCTGGTCAGGTAAAGGCATTGTTGAAAAAACAGGTCACTGACCAATGTCAAACAAAACAATTATGTTTGACATTGGTCAGTGACCTGTTTTTTCAACAAAAGTGTAGTATTTATACCTTAGATCGCAGCTACACGCTCTCTAGAAGCTGTCTTGCTTCCCGCGCTAAACAAATGCGACCTTTGGTAATTAAAATGCCGCTCTGGTAATACTATCAAAGTGGAGATCTACGCGCTTTGCATGGCATTAACTGTAAATAGAACTTTGCTCACGGCTCTCTGAATACTTTGCTCTGTATGCAAACGTTGACCCGTTTGATTTCTGCGGTGCATGTGTTCAAACTATACACGTTATTTCGTGTTTCGCGACTTCCGTGATCACTTCCCCGGTACTTTCTATTCACCTTTGTTGAACCAGATAAAAGAAGCTTATGTTTATTTAAGGATGGTTTGAATTTTCTCTCTCTCTTGTCACGCAGAACTTCATGCACTGTCGAAAGACGCACGTTTCTTTAGAAGCAAGAAACACGACCGTGCTCCTATAGCAGACGTGAGCTGACAAATCGCACTTTGAAAATTTCAAGCTTGTTTTCGTAAGTGTAGAGTATGACTATTCATACTAGAATAGGTATGATATAATTTTTCTGCGTTTATCAATTGCCGGTTTACAATGCTGTCCACAAAAACGGGTACTCTATGCAAAAAAAATCAAAAGGAAAATGCATTGGCATTTTATTCGTATTGCAAAACCCTGCAGAAATTATGAGTCGGTAATACGCCCCCATACACACGCTAAAAACATAATACTGGGAAGTGTATATATGACGTTATTCGGCACTTTTAGCCACCTTATAACCGGTTTATTATCTTCAGTAATGTGTTACTATACGAGCTAATTATAGGTATAACTGTTTTCCAACATCGCACATCTTTTTTTACGTGAACGTCTATAGGTGCCTGCGCTCGACGGGGATATGAGACGGTAGTTTCGCAGAGAGGTCAGCACACGTTAAAAAAAATGCGCATGAGCATCGGACTACAAACTTAGATACTCACAGCTCAGAAGACAGCAGAACGCCAAGGCGCAGCCAGTGATCGACATCGTCGCCACTCCAGTCATCGTTTTCACAGCGTTGCTGACAGTCGAAACAAAAGACTCTTTGGCGTCCTTCTTGCAAGAACGGTGTATAGAAACACACCGACTGACGTGATCGGTAGAACGCGCACCGAGACAACGACGTCGCAGAAGAGACCAAAATTGACGCCTTTCACGGAGGAGATGGAGTCACTTTTTGCACTTCGAGCGCACACCACACCGAAGTTAATCCTCAGTTTCGCCGGCACCGACACACACAAAACACAAGCGCACGAGCGAAGACCGACGGGGCGCCGATGAGGCGGCGTAACGTCGGGAACGGGACGGGCTCAGTCACGCCTTGCAGCGGAAGACGCTGCTGCGTCGGTGGATGGGATGCTCTCGGAGCACGCGGAGCAAGCGGAGTCGACGGATGGAGAAGGCAGGAGTGGGGCGCGCGCGCGAGCGCGGGATGGAGTGAACGGCGTCAGCTCAGCTGCATCGGACGGGGCGAGTGCACAACTTTCTGTTTCGCCGCGGCGATTTCTATCCGGGCGTCACGTTGGAGCGGCCTACTTTCGCTCGCCCGCCGCTCTCGTCGCCATCGGACGCTGCAGTCCGCCGTTTTGAGAGAGGAGGACGAACACGCTCCTTCACCTTTTATCTCGGATGTCCTCACCCTCGCGCCGCACTACTGCCGTTACTCGACTGCGTCGGCCGCTGTGCTGAGTGAGCGCTTGGCGCGAGTGCGAAGCAGCGGTCGTACGCGAACGGCGCGGAACCAAGCAGAGCGGAAGCTGGCAGTGCGACGTGAATGTGACTCTCTGCGGCGCGATGCAGCGATTTCAGTCGCGCATCGGAAGCGATCCAATCTTTCATTCGCTGCTCGCGTGGCTTCTCCAAGATGAGCGGGTGATATCGCTCATCGAAGCAGTGTGAACAGGCCCGCGTAATAGACACCAGTGGCGCCATCTCGTTCGCTAAGCGATTTCATTTGATTGTCGTAAAGAGATAAATTTAATCAGTTACTGCAGAGGAGAATTAATTTGCGTAATTATCCTTTGCATCACAAGAGCGTCATTGTTTTCATAAATTGGAGGCCTGTTATCTGAATAGGCCGCCTGTTTTCTTGGACTATTTCATATGGACTGAAAAAGGTTTATTAGTGGTATCCGGTGATCCAGGCACGAAACTTGGACGCTGTTGTGCGAGAAAAAAAGTGGTGTTTTTGTTTAAAAAGTTATGAGGTGATTTTCCTCTATGACAAAGATAGGCAGGACCTTCTGATATTACCAGCCCGATAGAGTTAAGCAGCTCGTTTCACTGAAATTCCGGTGTCGGCATCTTTGTTTATGCACAAAAAATCTGCGTTTTCCGTGACTAAAAATCGAGAGAGCTGCGAATAAAATAAATAAGAAAATTATGTGGCTCCAGTGAGAATGAAACCGAGGCTTTCTGCGTGGCAAGGACGTGTTCCACCACAGATCCAAATCATTTTTTTTTTTTTGACATGGTGTTTATTAGAAGTGCACTGACTGCATATACAGCCGAAGAAATAAGCGGACATGAACACAATAAGCGTTACACAAAAAGGAGTTTCAAATGACACCATCTTCTAAAAGGGTATCTGAGCAGTGCATTTCACGAACAATGGATACTATTCTAGCTGAAAGTGCAATCGCCGTAGTGTTCTTACTATAGTGTTACCCACTATTGTACAGTTGTTAAAAACTCGCATGTTAAGAAAGCGTGAGAAGCCAATGCTATCATCGAAGTCACAGTTCATACGATTGACCATGCAGCTAAAACTAAAGAACCACACCATTGCTTGGAACCGCTTTGAAAATCAAAAGAAAAATAACACAATATCATTATCTTATAGTTGGGGAAAGTCTCCTTAGCGCATGTAATATTGCATGGTAGAAACATAGTATCGCGCCGGGCGTCGAAGCATGTTAATTGCGAATCTAGTAGGTATTTTAAAGGCCCACAGAACACAAAACACTCGTACATATTTATTCATCATCAGCAGCACCAAAAGCGTGAATAAAGTGAGCAGCTGAGTACGTTCACGTGTTAGTGGACACTTCGCTGATTTGCAAAAGGATGAATTGCGACGAAGTGGGCAGTTAACTGTACTTGCAGTAAGTATTCTAGGATTGTTTGAAACGGCCAGTCTTACTTGCAAAGCCATTCGTTCCTCATGGCATGGTTGAGGTATCCACCGAGCACCGAAGCTAGGTTAATAGACCCTTTTCGAAATTGTAAAGATTAGCTTTCTGCTATGCAGTGCGACCTACTAATAGCATGACGATAGTTATGCGCGAGAACAGAACGATGACAAAGGGACAAGAAGGAGAATGGGCCGCACTTCTAAGCTACTAATGGCGGCTGGTCACTTTCTGCGAACAGCCTGTTCAAGCGCGGATTGCTTACGCTACTGACGTGGAAAATGTAGGGCATATGCTCTTTTGATATAAACACGCATAACAAACAAGCCCGAGCCCCTTCAAGTAGGACCGCGTCTCCGCTTGAAGCACGACAGGTGCCGCCATTACTTGGGCAAATCAGTAGCGTAGAGAAGCGCAGCTAGCGAAGTACGAGAGTGTCCATCAGGCCCGGCGACGTTATCGCGTTCTGCTCCTGAAGGCGAATCGCAAGCATCCTCCAAGTTTTCTTCACCGCACAACTAGAGTCTTCCAGCTTCTCAGCTGCCAATGTCGATGAAACGTATCGAAACAATGTACCGCGCTGCTATATAGGCGAGCGTGGAAACAAGTTGAAGGGTACTTTAAAACAATTGGAACATAACCTTCTTCCTAGATGAGTCTTGTCGTGTAAGGAAGCTGACTAGGCCGGAAAGTATAGGGTCCGTGAGATTTATGTAATGTTGGGGTAGGCACTGTTTCGACCGCTAATTGTTGCCGGGTGTAGCTTTGTGGATATAGTGGTTTTAGTAGGTTTAGTTACGACATGATAGAGTGTTTAGACCAGCTGTTTTCACATTAAATGACTGCACTGTAACACCATAAAGTCACATGGTTTTCAATGCAGCAATTAAAAGTTAATTGCACGAAACAGTCAGCAGGTGCCCTGTACATTATCACTCTTTTTAGTGCTTTATTATAAGTCAGTGCTAATATTTATATTGTCGACTCTGATTGATGAGAAGTGATAGCACGTGCTTTCTGATTCACGGGTTCTTTGAGTTGCCGGCTCCATGGGCATGGGCTCTAAGCTGCTCGCTTATCTTTCAGTACGGCAACGTGTTAACTTCTTTGACGTAGTGGCGTCTTTTCTTTGAGAGGATACGTAAGAAACAAAGCTTGGGGTCAGCAATCGAGCGTCGTAGAAAGAAAAACACGCGGTATTTTCATTCTATTTATTAACGACTTCACACAGCAGAGGGCATGGGAAGAAAAAGCTCACCAGGAAAAGGAGGGGGAAGAAAGTTTAAGTGGAGTTAGCCAGTTCTTAGACCGGCTGGCTACCCTTTGCTGGGGAAAGGGGTGAGGGGAATAATAGCTCACCAGAACTTGGCTAGGCTTCCCAGCCTGTTACAGTACAGTGCCACGCAGTGGCAATACATGCATTTTGCGCAAGAAGATATGAAGAACTGAATGAAAACATTGATTAGATGCGAAAAGTCATCATCATATAAAAGAACTGATGATGACTTTGTGGAATCAAACATTTCATTACGATAAGCCTGTGAAACCATACTTCAAAACAAGTGAGAATTACTTAGCGACAAAGAATATGCTGCGTAACGCGAAGGTAGCTTAACGAATGTCACGGCTACTACAAGCTTAGAATAAAACGTCAGATAATGTCTGTTCAGTGAGAACGTACTGCGGTACAAAAAAAGTGTAAATGAAACACGAACAGTCAAGTGACACGCAATCATTTCGAAACCATTTTGTTCCCATTTGCGCCTCATCACTTACCGTAACACTCGTTTGACCCAAACTTCAAGGGGTGATGAATTCATTACGCGGTGGGTCATCCCGATGGGCCGTTGGCTGTGCTAAGCGCTAGGCAAACATTTTTGCAACACATACGGTATTTTTACTAGCACTATGTTATTTGTGAAAATTACCTAAAATTTTTAATGAGGCAAAAGCAAGGCCACCACTGGCATATCCGGGTGTAGGGAGGGTGGGGGGGGGGGGTGACTCTACTCTTTTTCCCCCTGAAATTTTTCAGTTTTGTAAGTGTATATGTGCAGGCACACATGAACCAAGTTATGATTCATGTGTGCACCCCCCCCCCCCTCCCGAAACACATACACCAGAAAAATAAAATTCTGCCTACGCCACTGACGACCAATAAGTTTCCTGTATGCCGCTCTGCCATACGGAAAAAGGGGGAGAGGAGACAGGGAAGTCAAGGGAGAGAGGTGAAGAAGATGCGCGTGTGGTGTGCTAACCTATACTCTGTAGAAGAAGAACCGAGTGCTGAAAATAGATAATAAACATGCGAAATGAATGGAGAACACTTCTTCGCATGTAGAGAAAGAATACTGCTTCGCACTACAACTGTTTGATATAAAAAAGTGTGTGTTGGTATCGTCCGTAACTGTGCAAACAACAAACGCATTAAAAAAAGCTGGAGCTTTACTTCGCGCCCTGTAACAGACACCTCGGCTGATCTGCTCTATCTTAAACTTCCTCATTCTCCCTCTCTCAGAAGCTTGTCACATCGATTGCGTGTCTTGAGCGATGACGGGCCATAGGAACATTAAAGTGTCGCACAGCTCTTACTGTGAACTGTTTTATGACTGTGCACGAGATTCGCAAAGAAAGATTATGAGAATCATATTTGGAATGGGCGTAGGACGCCAGGCTTGTCGCGTTTCACTGTGAAATTGAAGCACGTCTCAACTGGGCGCTAAATGACTGTATGAGAACAGCCATGGTGCCCAATGAAACCTTGCAGGTACTGTATAGTTGCAGGTACTCTAACTGTAGTTAGAACACCCAGTACATAGTACCCACTGAGATGAATGTGTTTCTAGGTTGGGGACGAGCGCTTTTTTTTTGTATTCACGAGGAACTCATGTCAAGTGAGCGACATTACGGATGACATCTAACCCACACTCTCACACTACCAGTGACAAAATTACAAACTAAACACCCTCCACGGTGGCTTAGTTGTTATGGTACTCGGCTGCTGACCCGTAGGTCGTGCGATTGAATCCCGGCCATGACGGCCGAATTTCAGATGGGGGCAGAAATGCTCAAGTCCCATGCACTTAGATTTGAGTGCACGTTAAAGAACTTAAGGTAATAGAAATGTTTGGCACCCTCCAATATAAAATCTCTAATGATTATATCATGATTTGGTGTCGTGAAACTCAAAAAATTATTTGTTATTAGGCGACGAAAAAAATGCCCTGCATCGCCGTGACTACTAACCTGCACGTGCAGCGTATTGAACACCTAAACCAGCATTTATGATGTACTTTTCTTTGTAACCAATAAAAAAATAATTATTCGTATTCTACATGGCAAAAGCCGCGATACGTTTACGAACGATGTCGTAGTGAAATACTCCGCAAAATATCGATTTTCTGGGCTTTTTTAA